TTTATAGCCTTTGATCTAGATTGACAAGTCCATGTATGAAGTCCCTGTAGGTCCAAGACTAGGGCGGGGTTTCCATATTATATTAAGTCCTAGAACCAGATGTGCCACCTTATGGATTAAGATGATGGCCTGTTTTCCTATTTGCACTATATTCATGTTACGACAATGGATGGGTTCCTGTCAAATGCTGAACCACAAACTAACAAACCTCATGTAACCTAGTCAAGGGTATTGTGTGAATCTCCCAGACTGGGGAGAAAGAAGCATGGAAGGATGGCCAGATCAGCAGGTTATCCTTCTGTCAAAACCCACTCCAGGTTCTTACTAAGTATCAGGTGGTAGGTGCAGGTTCTTTGCAGTGAAACAGGCGTGAACACTCTTGCATCACGCATCAATGCCTCTCCCCCATACCTGACAGCTGTAGGACAAGGTTACTTTTAAACTCAGGTTCAGCGCTCTTCTGAAGGCGTGGTAGACGCGTTTCAAAGGAACCCAGCTAACAAGTGACAGGCATGGGGGAGGGATCGCCCCTTCTGCTACATTTTGCAGCCCCACTACACTTGTCACCCTGTTAGTTCAGGAAATCTTTCTTCAAGACCAGGCAGAACCTGCTCTCCTGCTGCTCAAGGTAGAATGACCGTGGTGGACAGTGCCCTGAAGGTTGGAGGGGGTGCTTGGCTGAGGACCTAGATCTCTGGACATTGTGTAGTGAAGTGAAGAAGCATTCCTCTTGGATGGCCCATTTAGAAAACCCAAGCAAAGCGTTTCATCCCCCTACCCCTGGAGACTTAGAGGCATCACTCTAGTAGTATTTATATATTACATTTATTTCCTATCTTCCACCTGGGAGTTCAAGGCAGTGTTCAAGGAGGTCTCACTCATTTTTTCTCCACAACAGCACTGTAAGGTGGTTGAGCAGAGAGACTGGCCCAAACCCACCCTGTGAGTGGTTGACACAAGGCTCCCATGTCCAAGTCCAACACCTTTATTGTGAGCAACCAACGTTTTCTTAACATGAAAGCAGAACTGAATGTTCCATGGACTGTAAGGTGCCCACAATCCCCTTCGCCTGATTTTTTTTTATTGATGTTTGACTGCCATTAAATACTTTCAAAAGAGGCATCTGAAGACTCTCGGAGCCAGACCATATGGCCATATTCCTCCTATCTGGTTTCCTTTGGCAAAATTGGAGCAACCATTTCAGCTCACCCTGTCTATTCCTTTCCTTTTGGTGAGAAAATTTTGGACAATACAATGCAACCACTTCAGTCTGGTGTAAAAGCAAGTCCAGATGGAAAGAAAGAGAGTGCTCCAGCAGATGGAAAAACAGTCAAGCCTTCTGATCATGGTCCAAGAGCTAATGGGAAGATATCTTCCTCTCAGAGAAGGTCATATTGAAGTTCAGCTCTCCAAGGAATCCAGCCACTTAGGCCTTAATGGCAGACCCAGCTGTAAGGGATCCTCCTGTGATGCTCCAGAGGCTTGCAAAGGATTGGGAGCAGCATCAGAAAACTGAAGGAATAGATGGATTTTCCTCACAGCTGGGGCTGCTTTGTAAAGATGGAAACTTGGCATTTCAGTCTGGTTAGAGATGCCGGTTGAGGGCTCTGGTTTCATGTTGTCCATTCACAGAATTGGGGTGCCCAGGATCTCTCAGCCACTGCTGTGCTCTGGCCACAGGGATTCAATTCGGATGCGTCAGCTGGGTGACATTCCAATCGGTGAGAAACTCAGGGAAAACAACCTCCTTCATCCACACTTATTGTTAGCGTGTGGTTCTCCAAACATCTCACACAGGCATACAGTCCAGGTTATCCCAAACACACATCATTCATTTCCATTTTCTGCATTAAGTGCTACCACGACTTAATTAGGCCTAGCCTGAGTAGAAACCAAACCCTTTAGGGCTGGCCAAGGTCGTTCTTTGGTTGAGGCTTCCTATTTAAAAGAGATTTTTAGAAGGCTGAAGGGAATTACCATCTCTGGTCAAAGAAAGCCACAGCCTGGTCTCTCCCAAGAAGCTTCTTGCCCTGACCTCTCACCCTGAGCCAGCTGATTTGCCTGGAAACAACCAGAGAAAACAACCAAGTCCATCTTGCAATCAGCTCTTCCCTGCGCCTTTAGTGCTTTTGCATCAGGCGCCCATTTTGCTGTTTGCCTCTTGGAATTTTGTAAACAAGGACGATCCATGTTTCTTGGGGATAAAATTACCACAAATGTTGGGCGTTGGCACTGCTATAAAACGTCCCTTGCTGGTTCTTAGAAAGTAGCCAAGGTGATTATATCTGACTTTTTACATTTTTAAAGTGATGGGTACTCTCTCCAAGGTCCCCCGTGACTGCACTTCCTGGAAAACCATTGATTTGACCCAATGTAAGGTGGCAGAGCAGTTCAGGAAGCGCTGCTGGTGGGAATTTATGGAAGAAGCTTCACGTCACCGTAAAAGGTACCAGGCTTATTACAGAAATTTTACGAAGTAAAACACTTTAAAATATTAAAAGAGGTGAATCTCTTGAAATTTCAGTTACATTTCTCTCCCAGTCTTCATGATCTTATGGGGGAAGGAGAATGCGCTTCTCGGCGCACACCTTCAACCGTTTTTGTGGAGGCAGCTATTGCCAAGGGCCAAAAAGGGGCCCAACAAGAACCAACACCTGCTACATCCCTGTCCAGGGAGATTGACCTGGATTAGACTTTCTTGGCAAAGAGGGACCAGGGAGAGAATGGCTGAAGTCCTGCTAAGATGCCAGCTGCACCCTTTTCTCCTAGAGAGGGTAGAATATAAATAGTTCTTGCTGAGCAGTGCCGAGTGTCCCTGGCTGTGGTTACTTGGCACCCTATTTCTTGCCCTTGGCATGGAAAAGGTTGGCTCTCTGCAGTGCAGGAGCCAGAAAACCAGGCCTCCCTCCAGCCGTCTCCTTCGAAGGGTGCCTGCCTCCTCTGGAAGAGCCCAGGATTTAAGGCACCCGGAGACCGCCCCCCTCCGAAAAACCTCTCATCAGGTCTGGCGGGTGAAACGGAGCAAGAGGCAACCATGGTTTTAACTGACGTGTCTCTGCAGCAAACCTCCTTCCCCATCCCAAGGCTGCCCTTGCCCCCCATTTCTGTGCCCCCCATTGCTTTCCTCTTAAGACTCCTCGACTGCCTGGCTGGAAAGCGGGTGGGCCTTCCTTTGGGCCCCACCCCACCCCAGGCCTGGCCAGTTTGGGTGAATCTGCTACCCTTCATCACGGAAGAGGTGGGGGAGGGAGGTGGGGGCTTGGTCTCACAGCATTCTGGTTCAAGAAGCATTCACGTCACGGTGGGTTAGGTGGAAACAGTAAACTTGGTTTATTGAAAAATATCGATTACATTTATTCCTTTATTACACAGGTTTAATTTTTTTCTTCTTAAAAAATACCTCTTAAAGGCACTGATATGTTGGAATTTGGAAACCTGTACAAATAGGGTCACCTGATCATACGTGAGTGTGTGTGTGTGTGTGTGTGTGTGTACATGTACATACACGCAGAGATACACACCCACACACCCTCACTTCAAAGGGGGAGGGGGCTCTATGTATTTAAAATCTTTGTTTTCATACTTTTTCTCATCAACATTTGTTCAAGTCATTATATATATTAGGGGGAAAGGGGATAAAATTACACAGAAAGATATGTCTGCAAATACAAGAAGCAAATTTTATTGCAATATACGGTAACTAAGTGTTCTGGGAGGGAAGGAAAAATGGGATAGGCGTGAAAGAAACGTCAGTACAGTTTTACAACACTTGGTAGGATTTTGATAGAAGCACCAAACAAGGAAGGAAGGAAGGAAGGAAGGAAGGAAGGAAGGAAGGAAGGAAGGAAGGAAGGAGGGAAGGAAGGAAGGAAGGAGGGAAGGAAGGAAGGAAGGAGGGAAGGAAGGAAGGAAGGAGGGAAGGAAGGAAGGAAGGAGGGAAGGAAGGAAGGAAGGAGGGAAGGAAGGAAGGAAGGAGGGAAGGAAGGAAGGAAGGAAGGAAGGAAGGAAGGAAGGAAGGAAGGAAGGAAGAAAGATCCTCGGATAAGAAATAATCAGATCAGAATCACATGACCTAAGAGAGTGTGTCTTAGCTCCCCACCCTCCAGCCGGTGACCCCCAGAATTCCTGAAAGGAGGGAAAGAGCACTGTGGATATCGTTCCTGGGTTGCCGCTTGGGAATGAGATGTAGGGCGGCTTCTGAACCATTGACTATCTGGGAATCTGCTCTGCAGGGGCGCTTCAGTTTAGGATCTCCAGATCATCGATCCCCGAAGACGCTGTGGGCCTCTCGCGAGGCTTGTGCCCTGAATCTGTGGGGGGTGGGACAGGCCCCTGGAGCTTCACCGTGGCTATCTGGGAATGGAGAGGGAGCAGGGCTATGGGGAAGGCCTCCCACCACCTTCCAAAGACAAACAGGATTGTTTGGAACAAAAACGGGAGGGTTGGTTGTTTTCAATCAGAAATGCGTCATCTTCTTGCACCTCCACACTGCAGAGGAAGCTGAAGGACCCCAAGCATTATTCTGACAACCACTGTTGGAGGATCCTGCCCCTTCCAATGGGAAAGTAAGGCAGGAGAGGGGCAAGGATCCCCAATAACGGACGAAGGGAAGTCAGCCAGGCCCAGGTGGGTCTGCAGATCAGGCGCAGACGCTAATTCTCGGCCACCCCAAATCTCCCAGCTCTCACATCTGCAGCTTTCCATGCAGCGGGAAAGGACGTCCCATAAAGGGCCCCATTCACAGTGATGGTGATGTCATTCCCTTTGCAGAGGGGTGGTTTTTCGGAGAAGAGACCAAGGAGGGGAGCGCGGTGCTCTTTTCCTTTCTGCCTGTG